GCTGTCTCTCTTTTCTTCCCCTTGTCGCGGCTACAAAGCAGCGCGGCGCATTGTTGCCGTGCCCCCGGGGGGTGAGCGCAGCGCCGTGCCGCGCGGAGGAGCGGCCGGGGGCCCCGCGCGGGCTTGTCCCGGGTGGCCGCGGGCGCAGGGAGCGCGCCCCGCTCGGCCCTTATCGGCGCGGCCAGCTGGGCTCTCCCGGTGCTTCCCCCGGGAGGCAGGAGCGGCAGAGACGCAGCGTGGAGCCCGCGGGCCCCGCACCTCATTGTGCTCTGCCCTGCCGCAACTCCTCCAAACTTCGTGGCAGGGGAAGGGCAGGCTTTGCGAGCCCCCTGCTCCCGCGGGGCACTGGCGGGGCTGCAGCATGGCAGGGGAAGGCTTCCAGCCAGCCAGTTCTGGGCGAAACCCAGTGTTTTAGCAGAGGGCTGCGCAAGTCGGGCTGCGGGGGGGAGATGCTGCTGCTTTGTGGCTACAATCCCTTTGTGAGAGAAGCAGTGAGAAGAGTGGAATTTAGTAGGAAAAGGCCAGTTTTTCACTTTTCAGCTGCTTTCGGTCCAAAAAAAAAAAAAATGATGGCCAGGCCGCTGTTTGCGCTCTGCTGACGAAGGGGAAACTGCTGCGGGGAGCAGCGGAGCAGTTGTCACCAGGCAGCATCCTGAAATTTGAACAAATACCGATTATGTTAATAAAGGCACTGGCCAGATCGGCGGCACCGAGCAGGATTTTTGTGCGACTTAAGAGACCTCTTGTACGTGCGGGAGCAATTCAGGGGAGGGAACCGTAAATGGCTCCTTGGGATCATATCGCAGCAACTCTGCGTGGAGAAAATGACATATGAAAGGAAAATTGACTTATTTCCACAACTGCAAGTGGCCTCCTTTTTGTGCCTTTTCATTAGCAATCTAATCCTAAAAGCATTAGGAGCAATTATTTGCAGTAGTGCCTGACATTCTAGGTCTAATTATTGAAATCAGTTTAACTCTTGATGGTTGACCCACCAGGTCAAATCTGGGTGTCCTTTGTTATATTTTATTAAAATAAAAAGGGTGTGTGTGGGGGGAGGGGAAGAACCTTCAAACTTGCCACCTGCCACTGACATATCATTTTAGCTCTGGGGGGATCAGTGTGAAGAATAAGCGACCTCTTACATTTGTTACTTTCCAGTCTAACGTGGGTAAAGAAACTGAACCTAAAATCCTGCTGCTCTGGGTCTAAAATACATTGCGTGTTGTGGTGGGGTTCAGAAGAGAGTAATCGGAGACTAGCAATTGTTTTCTTTCTTCGCCCTGTGTATTCTAAGGGGGAGAGAGAGAAAACAAAATCATCCCCTTGTTTGGTTTTTTCCCTTTTTTTTCCCCCCCTTCTTTATAATAATAATAATCATCATCATCATAATCATAATAAGCTCCCTTCACTCAAGATTCAAGAGAGTTTTACATCTTTAATGCATAACGAAATGGTTCATGTTAGTATTTGCATATGTTGCTGGGCAGAATGACTTATGGATGTGTAGATAGTAATAAGTATCGCAAGATGCTTGGAGCACTTGGTATCACGTGATACTTGGTAGTGTCAGGACTGAATTGTTTGGCAGAGGCTAGTGTGTGACAGGAAAGAGAGGGGGTTTGGAGGCCTCAGTCCTGGAGGGTGTATGGTTCAATTTGCTTTGATGAGTACAGCATTACATTCTATGTTTTTTGGGTTTTGTTTTTTTAATAAATGGCTGATCGGTTTTGAGGTGGAATGGACTGAAAAGCCTCAAAACAGCCGCAGCGGTTCAAAAGTGCTGAGCAAATACGAGCATTCAAAATGTGAACAGGGGATGTTGCTACAAATTCTTCTTTCCAGCATCTTTAAAGCTTGTAGTAATAAAACCCTTTCAGCTGTAAATTGTATTTTACTCTTTTTTTTTTTTTTTTCATCTTGGAGAAAATAAAAAGTGTAACTGTGCTGATTCCAACCTATGCTCCTTGATAATAGATGTGGAGAAATAGGATAATGGTTAAAAATGGATGCATGCTTGCTTTGGAATCGGAATACCTATTTGCATTGATTACAGTGTTTTGCTCTACCATCCAGTTTGATGGATGTGTCATGGTTTGTCAGATAGGAAGAGTGTCTTTATGCACTGCACTGTAGAAATCAAACTTTTCGTCCCTTAACTAGTGGATTCATTGCTCCCAAAAGCTGCTGCTGCTGCTTCTGGTTTAATGGCAGTGATCGTTGCCACAAAGTGAGCCTCTGGGTTTTCAGCACAGCAGCAGATGTGGTCTCAGAGTGGGAGAAAACAGAATTGCATTTGCGATGCAGCCATTACGTAGGCCGTGCTGTGACAGGCAAAGCTCAATGAGAAGGGGGACCATTTCAGCATCAGTGGACATGCCTACCCTGCTGGGCTTGGAGAAAAATTAACAGGGCTCAGCTGTGGAATTGCTTACAACAACAGAGTCCTGGCCCAACTGGGGGCAGGAGAATATCTTTAAAAAAAAAAAAAAAAAAAAGACTTCCCTAGTGGGTTGGCTGTAGATTGAAAATAACTGACTATACCAGTAAAGCAGCTTGAATGAGTTTACATTGCTGTAGTACTGAGAACAGGGATATTGCATTGCAGTGGAGAATTCAGTCTCCTGTGTTACAAGTAGTATGGCAAAGCAACTATTTTTAAGCTGCCAGAATGATACGTATAATATTTTACTGCCACTTGTGCTAGTTTAGAATTTATCTCAAAATGTTCCTTTAGAGTTGCGTTTTCCCACTAAGTGAGCCCATCAGACTTTCATCAGAATGGCAATGGGAAGCCCAGGATGTTTTTCCTTCTTTGCTGGATGAGTGTTAGGTGCTGACTGTCCAAACTTGTTAGTCAGTCACACTTTTTATTTGCAGTTCCTGGAAAGAAAACTCATCCTTCAGTGCTGGCTCTAGATAAACAAGGAAGAAGCACAATGAGGTCAGTCCTGAATTTAAAGCTGATATAAAAGTGATTGTTACAATAACTGTAGGTAAGGGACTATTACACTACAGTAGTTGTACCTGCTTTAAGTGACAGGTGGGAAAAATTTTCATTCCTTTTCATTTGCGTTTGGACGAAGGCCCAGTGTTGGCCACAAACTGCAATCCAGGATTAATCTCCACATAGTGTTTTCTTTCTATATATCAGATTTCTCATTTTGTTAATAAGCACAGCCTAGCATGCACTTCAAGTCAGCTGTTCTGGAGTGGAAGCAACAGGGTTTTACATTATTGAAATGACAGCCCTCATGCTTTCATTGAGCCCATATTATTTGGCTGGGGAAGGGTAGAGAGGGATACTTGCTTGGGATCTGCGATTACAAGAACTCTGTTTGCAGTTATTGGAAAAGCAGGGAATTTGACTGTATCCAGGAATGATGGAATGAGTTGCAGGAATTGAAGGGACAGGACAGTGCCTTGCATACAGACTAATATTAACACCACCCCCCACCCCCCAAACATATAACTCTGTCTGCACTAGGAAACAGATCTACTGGGGGAAGAGGTGGTTGGCAGTGGATTTCATTCAGCTAGTGCCGAAGGTGGGTCTGCCGTTAATGTAGATGGAACAAAACTGTTTAGTGCTGTTATAAAAACTGTGATGAAGAGAATTTTCCACCAGGGCCAGTGGCCTACATGGCAAAGGTCCTGAAGTTGTCCTTTCTCCTCCTCTTTAGCTGCTCAGCCAGTACTGCAGATAGTTTATAGAAGTGTAGGGAGTCTGCTGCTGAACAACTGCAGTCACCTGTGTGTGAGCTGTTTCTCTAATACAGGGGTTTTCAACCCTTTTGCGGCGGGGTGGCGCATGGCTGAATGCAGAGCGGCGGCAGCTGCCGCATGCAAGCTTTCCCCGCGCCTGACCAGGTGGGTGGTGCCTGTGTGGCAGCGCGGGATGGTGCAGGGCCTTGCTCCATCCCCTCCTGCCCTCATGTACCCCCTAGGGCCTTCTCAAGTACCTGCGGGGGTACATGTAACAAACCCCTGCTCTAATATAAATAGACCCAAAAGCAGGATGAGCTATTTCTTTTCTCCTTTCTAAAGTTTTAGAAACGGGTTGTGCTTGGGTTGAAAGAGGTAGAAAGCATTGCACTCTGTATCATCCAGGTTGAGAGGGTTGTCTTTCAGTCTCTTTGGTAGAAGGAGACGGGTAGCTTTCAGTAACAAATGCTGACCGTCCCTTCTCTTCCCTTGCAGTCTTAAGTGGTAAACTTTTCTTAAGACTAAACCAGCATCTGCAAGTTCCAGGTTTTAAAAGAGGTATGTGATGTTCTGGCTCGTTTAAATCTGCTATCATAGAGACTACTGTACTGTGCCTCTTGATGCTTTTCTTATAAACCTGGCTAATCTGTGAGTTGTCTTAAGATGCCCCTGTATGCAGAAGATTTTTGGCTATGAAATGAAGGCTTGTACCCTGTTCTAAAAAAAGAGTATTGGGTGTTTCTGAAATG